CCCCCACATATCTATGTCACGATGTGGGAAGATTTGCATAACGCCGCCCAAATGTTCACGCAACGAAAGAAGGCGTAACTTTTATTCTCGCTGTAGTTTTGTTGATGCTGCAGCCCTGTCGTGAAGACGTTGTGTGCTTCATTGTGAAAGCGAAACTACTTTGTTTGGTCTTCCAAAAGAGGACGATATCCGCTTCGTCATGCCTAGAGCTGATCTGTGCTGGTCGCTGAGGGAATACATCAACTTTCACTGTGGACGATGCGGAAGTCCGTCACATGTGGTTGCCGCTCATTCGTCGGATCCTCCGGGCGCGCCGTTCTCGACCTCACGCTAAGCCGGTGCTTCCCCTCACGCTAGCCCGGCCTCAGCTCACTCTAGCCCGGCCTGACAGAAAAAAGGAATGAAGATAAAGGAGCATAAACAGAGCTTGTTAATCACCATTGTGCAGCTCCCCCTGCCTTCCTGTTTATGTTGTGCTGAGTTAAATAATAATAACAAATGGCTGGTAAAATGGATTAAGTTTTTTGGTCCTTACCCAAGGTCTTTGCATAAACACAATACCCTTGTGTTGCATATGAATATGATTTGGCCTGAATCCCTCATTGGTGGTCATGTTTGCGGATGTACAGTGGATGTTGACCCATCACTGATGAATCAGCTCTTAGGAAAACATCTCGCCGCAGGGGTTGCATATGAATGACAGCTGTAGCCGCCTGCTGATTAGAGCCTGCTTTGAAATGGTTTTCCCCCATTTCGTTTTTGCGTTTTACCCACTTGCATCAGAGGATGATTTCTTTGTCTGTGTGGAAATCTTTTATAAATATTCACTGACCTCATACTTGTGTTCCGACATTCTTGTCCAGAGCTCATTTCTCATTTGCACTGAGAGTACAGCAGAGCTCATGCTGAAAAGGGAATGCCATTGAGATTCAGATATTAGATGTTGTTATGATATTTTTCAGTGCTTCAGATGTTATCTGTACAAGTGTTCTGTACTCCCATCAGCAGCAGAAAAAGTTGTTTGTTCTCGTATAATCCGTTCCATTGTGCTGGTGTTCAGATTAGCCAGTTGTTTTCTGTGGGCTCAGTGCTTTCTGTTAATTTAAATGGAGATAAACAATAGCAAACTAAACTCTTGTAAAACTTTTTTTTTATTTTTTTTTTATCCATTTAGATGTTTTATGGCCATTTAAAAATGCCCATATTAGAATCTGTAACTGATTTGGTATATTTTAATTTCAGTTTATTTGTATAGCACTTTTCATTAATTTATTTTTTTATTTTTTTATGTTATCTGAGATGTGTTAGTGGAAAACTGACTGAAAAGTTCAGGGAGAACAGGACTGGGACTTTAAAACCAACCAAAGTTTAACTTGAACCAGGAATAAACTGAACATTTTAAAGTGAAAATTTAATTTCATAAAAATATTTCATTTAAAAATTTCATCCAATTTTTTTATGTTTTGTAACTAATAAGGTATTAAATTGCAGATGCAATTTTTATAGTAGCTTTTCGACCCCACTGTGTGTGTGTGTGTGTATATATATATATATATATACACATACACACACACACACACACAAACACACAAACTGATGTACATTATGAAATAACTTCTTTGGATTGCTTGAATGAAATTGTCATTCACAGGACTGTTATTTAAAAGACTCTGATGCCCATTGAACTCTAGCTATCATCAGAATCAGTGGGTAATCACTGGCTCTATACTGTGTCCGGTGAATGTACTGTCCTCCAGCCAGTCTCTCTGCATGATAAGCATCAGTAATCCAGGATTAAGCTGGAGTTCCCACTGATTTCAGTATAAAAACAGAGTTGTGAGCAAATCTGTGATGTTTGGTGATTTTGTATTTGGAAGTCTTCCTCGACTGCTGTTGTGAGACCAGTTTCACTGTTGCCCTAATTAAAAAAAAATGTGGAAAAGAAGTGGGTTTACACAGATGTTGGATCTGCCCACCAGGCAGAGTTGATTGTGAGGAACGTCTGGCTGCTGAGCAGGAGGTTGGCTGTCTGCCTGTCAGGTGAGAGAGACGACACAATGCAGGGCTGGAGATGGTAATTACACCAACCTCTCGAACAGCGGGAGTGGAAACATTGGAGTGTTTTGAAGCTGGAAATGGGATCTATGCCACAGTTTGGGGTGAATCAGGATCCATCACCTTTGTTGAGCCTCACTGTCAGGTTCTCACATCTGTAATGTGTGAAAAATTTGGCTTAAATTGAAATGCTTTCATTCTTACTTTCTCTCTTTGTCTCTCTCTAGCACTCAGATCCATTTCACAGTGGCCATTGATTTCACTGCGTCCAATGGTAAGGTTGTTTTTTTTTTTTATTGTGTTTCCTGTTTTGGATTTGTTCTCTGTGTTGTTGACCAACAGGTCTGAATAAGATTTTAACCTTGATTTATGATCTGTCTCTCTCTTTAAACCCTAGGGAACCCTTCTCAGTCTACCTCCCTGCATTACATGAACCCCTATCAGATGAACGCGTACGCCATGGCGTTGAAGGCCGTGGGCGAGATCATTCAGGACTATGACAGCGATAAGATGTTTCCTGCATTGGGCTTTGGAGCCAAACTTCCTCCAGATGGCCGGGTTTCCCATGAATTTCCCCTGGTACCTGTTCCTAGATATGATAGATTATGTGGATTTGACAGCTAGCTGTCGCATATCCAGAGTCATTTCTGTTCGAATCCTAAAATGCATGCCGTGTTTTTCAGACACTCTGAATATCATTACTTTATCCTGTTTGTGAAATTTAATTTGTGAGGGTATGTATGGTTGTTTTGAAGTATTTGTTTAGTAGTTTGCTCATATGTTGATGATATAGTAATTAGAAATGCTTGGTTACATCTATGTGTAATGTGTAAATAAGGCTCTCCAGACACTCCTGCTCATTAACGTTACCCAAGCATTCATGATGATTGTGTGTCAAACCGTCATCTCGTTGAGCATTTTGAGTCTCTTAATTAGTTTTTGCCTGCTTTTTTCCTCCATCAGCTACTCCTCCTTCCACCTCTTTTTCCTTGTGCTAGAACTTAGGATCATGACTATTCATTCTCGCTGCTTCACTCTTCAAATATCACTGTCCTTAGAGCATGAATAATTATCTAATGATGAATCATAAAATACTGAACAGATTCTCAGATCCCTAAGGGTGACACGCTAGAGAAAGTTTTGACAGTATATTAGACGAATATGAATGTGCAAAATGGAATTTTAGTATGCAGAAAGAACCATGAAAGAACCAGTTTTTGGTTGAATGACTTTTTTTGGCTTCCCTTCATGTCCTTGAAATGCAATTGAAATCCACTCCATTAAAAACCATCACCATTGAAATCAACTGATTTGCAGTTGAATTCACTGAGGCGGCACAAATTCTAGTGTGTAGACACCCTAAAGAACATCAAATACTCTATACTCTAAAGTTTTATATTCAAATGAATAATGACATATATCTTGTAAAATGTAAAGTGTTATGATAAATCTCAGAATCAGAAAGAGCTTTATTTCCATATTTGTGGAACACATACAAGGAATTTGTTTTGGTGACAGAAGCTTCCTCAGCTCAAACAGAATGACAGTGACAAGACAAGACACACATAATAAAAATAGTTAATAGATAAGTAAATAGGAAATAAAAATATAAAAAAAATATTTACCTTGTATTTCATCAGAGTAGAACCGTATCAGCAGCTCCTGTGGCAGGCTAAACTTCTCAGCTGGCGAAGGAAGTACAGCCTCTGCTGGTTCTTCTTGACAAAGGAGTCTATTGGCTCTTTTCCACTGCGTGGTACGACTCAGCTTGGCACGGCTCAGTACGGCACGGCATGGCTCGGCTCGGTTTGCGTTTCCACTGCAGTTCAGTACCGCTTTAGAGTGGGCGGGATTATTCACATGTCGTTAGTTGCGCCGCCTATACTGCCACGACTCCTGAAAAACTTGTTCATTCCGCGTCGCCCCAGCAATCTCTCTGGATCCGCTCCTCTGCTATCAACGAGTGGAAAGTCTGTACTTACTCAACAGACAACGAAACAGCCACTTTTTGGTTGTTAAAAAAGGTGCGCTCGTTAAAAACAGTTGCGTTCGATCCTTCACTGGCTGTGTTGATTTAAATCTAGCGGTTCTGTTGTGTTTGTGTCGCAAGTTCAGTGACGATAGTAACTAACAAGTTAGTAACGATTCTCTCCGGCCAATCCGTGATCAGCAGAGTTTACACTTCACGGTTTGGTAATGGTACGGTTCACTTGGAACCTCAACAGACGTGGTACTAAAAAAAGTACCAGGTACCAGGTACTGTACCCAGTGGAAAACCCCCCAAAAGTGAACCGTACCGAGCCGTACCGTGCCGTAACGTGCAGTGGAAAAGCGCCATATGTGGAACTCCCACTTCAGGTCCTGAGAGATGGTGGTGCCCAGGAACTTGAATGGCTCCACTGTTGTTACAGTGCTGTTCATGATGGTGAGTGGGGGGAGTGCAGGGGGGTTTCTCCTGAAGTCCACTATTATCTCCACTGTTTTGAGCGTGTTCAGCTCCAGGTTGTTATAACTGCACCAGACAGCCAGCTCTTAAACCTCCTTTCTGTAAGCAGACTCGTCTCCGTCCTGGATGAGGCCGATAAGGGTAGTGTCATCTGCAAACTTCCGGAGCTTGACAGAGGGGTCTTTAGAGGTGATGTCGTTGGTGTACAGGGAGAAGAGCAGTGGGGAGAGAACACATCCCTGGGGGGCACCAGTGCTGGATGAGAATTTTCCCAGCCTTACTAGTTGCTGCCTGTCTGTCAAGAAGCTGGTAATCCACTGACAGATGGAGGTGGGCACAGAGAGCTGAGTTAATTTGGACATGAGGAGGTTTGGGATGAAAGTGTTGAAGGCTGAGCTGAAGTCCACAGACAGGATCCTCACATCCTCACAGGACCCTGCACAGCTCCAGTGATCTTTTGAAGATCTGTGTGAAGATGGGGGCCAGTTGGTCAGCACAGGCCCAGGTCTGGGCCTGGTGCTTTCTTTCTCTTCTGCTTCCGGAAGACCTGACACACATCTTTTTCACAAACCTGAAGTGCAGGAGGGGGAGAGGGGGCTGCTGGAGGTGTTAATAGGTCCATAAAGAGAAGGTCAGAATGGGTGTGGGGTGTGAGACAGGGTCTTTCAAACCTGCAATAAAACTCATTCAAATCGTCGGCCAATTGTTGATTCAACACAGTGCTGGGGGATGGTGTCTTGTAGTTGGTGATGTCTTTTGGTCCTTTCCACACTGATGCAGGGTCACTGTCAGAAAACTGGTTTCTCAGCTTTTCAGATTCAGTTCCTCTTAGCCACTCTGTTCTCCAGTGTGTTTTTGGCCTGTTTATACAAGACTCTGTCCCCATTCCTGTAGGCATCTTCTTTGGCCTGACAGAGCTATCTGAATTTTGCAGTGAACCACGGTTTGTCGTTGTTGTAAGTTAAATGAGTCCTGGTAGGGATGCATATATCCTCACAGAAACTGATGTATGATGTTACAGAATCCGTGAGTTCATCCAGATTGGTGGCAGCAGCTTCAAAAACACTCTAATCAGTGCAGTCGAAGCAAGCTTGTAAATCCCGCTTTGATTAGTTATTACAGGTTTAGCTGATTTCAGTTTCTGCCTGTAGTTTGGTATAAGATGAAATAAACAGTGCTCAGAGAGCCCCAAAGCTGCCCGTGGGACAGAGTGATATGTATCCCTTTATTGTGTAACAGTGATCCAGTATATTACTGTCTCTGGTAGTACAAGTAACGTGCTGTCTGTATTTTGGCAGTTCACGTGTGAGGTTTGCTTTATTAAAGTCCCCGAGAATGATTATTGATTATTATAAATGATTAACAGAGTCATGGTGTTGTTGCTCTGTGTCTGTGATTTGATCAGCCAGCTGTTGTAGCGCCGCGCTCATGTGCACTTGCGGTGGAATGTAAACACCTACAAGAATGAATGAGGAAAACTCCTTCAGTGAGTAGAAAGGCTTACAGTTGATGAAAAGCACTTCTAGATCAGGACAGCACATCTTCTTCAACGCTGTTACATCTGTACACCACCTTTCGTTGATGTAGAAGCATGTCCCACCGCCACGCGATTCGCCTGTTGATTCTGAGGTGCGATCCGCTCTGAACAGCTGGAAGACCGGCAGTTGTAGTGCGCTGTCCGGAATGCCTTCATTCAGCCAGGTTTCCGTAAAACACAAAGCAGCAGAGTTTGAAAAGTCCTTATGAGTAATCAAAGTAATCAAATCCTTATGAATAATCAGAGTAATCAAAAATCGGTAAAAGGTTGTGTGGTGTGTGCTGCCGAATGCTCAGCAGTTCGTGCCTGGTAAAACTTATTGTGTTTGAAATACAACAGACAGGAAAAACAAACAAAACCATTAAAACAACTGGAGAGCTCCTCACCGAGGCAGCCATACTTGAAACAAACAATCTAATCTAATTTAATCTGCTGGTTTGGCCTTGACAGCAGAGGCATAGTGTTGACTGAAATCTGTTGTTCTTTTTGAAGAATGGTAATGTAGATAACCCATACTGCAATGGGATGGAGGGCATCCTAGAGGCCTACCATGAGAGTCTGAAGACTGTCCAGCTCTACGGACCCACCAATTTTGCTCCTGTCATCAACCATGTAGCAAGGTACGAAAAATTCAACAGCACTCGCTCAAAGGAGCATGCTGGCACAGTTGAGAACTTATCCTGTGTAAAGAAGAAGAAAGACACAGCGCTGAGATAGATTTCTGGACTCAAATGAATAGAATATTGTCCTATTCAAATCTTTAAGTTAAAGTCTTTGTTCAGTCGAGCAAAAATTTTTACCATGACAGACTTTATTTTGAGTGGTGGCTTTACAGTTTTGGAAAAACAAAAGATCACATTTTACCTGGTGTTGTAGGACTCATTGGCTAAAGGTTCATAGCCAGAAACTTAATTGATGGTCTTTTGGAGATGTAAAGGTCACATTTACTATTGTTTGGTAAATTTTTGAGGTCAAAATCTAGTCATTACAATAGGAATCTGCACAACCCGGAACTTCGCTTGAGGACAAAAGATTTTCCTACACCGATTTCACAATGTGTTCAAGTTGGTCATGTAAATTTGTCACTGTAATCAACAAAGTGTCACTCATATAAGCTCACTGTTTTTAGGGTGCTGCTGCTGTTTGCATATTTTTTTTAAGCTGTCCCAGGTACTAAAAATATGAAAGCAAGTTTTGACCTTATAGTAAAAAATTAAGCTGTCAGATAAAAATTTAAATAAGAAATAAAACCATATTGTGACAAAGTCGCAACTGTGCAAAATAGATACAATTGTGATACATAGTCATCAGGGGCGTCATGCACTCATTATTTTTGAGGGGGCACGAGGGGGGGGGGGGGAATTGATCTATAGTGGGCGATGGTCAAAGTAGCCTAATAATGTAATATATTAACTATGCATAAAATCCTGTTTACTTAAGCAACAGATATGGGTGTCATGCCATAAGATAGTTTTAATACGACTGACTTTATATTTAATGTGAATTTAACATTGAAAGTTAATGTGAATAAAAACATTGTAAGTTAGGCTACTAATCATAACACTTTTATTGTACAGAAAGAGAGCAAAGAACATTTACATTATCAAAGAACATTTTCACTGACAGTCTAGAGTTCAAGCACTCTCAAAAACTCCCATTAAAATCACTGAAGCTGTTTACACTGTGAAATGAATATCTTACTTATTTATACACACATCTGCACGTTATTGTTTCTAACGAGAGAATTCGCCAGAAAGAAGTATTCAGTCAGCGAGCGACTGAACAAAACACCGGCATTTTAGCAATGACTCATCTGAACGCCTCTGATTGGTAATTGCATTCATAAGCTCAACAGCATCGTGTGTGATTGGTTAATGCGCAGTGCTGTACAAATGCGTCTGTCTCTGGCTCAGCGCCAGCAGCAGCTGATGATATGACACGCTGAACGTTCTAATCACACCGGTGTGATTGTATCAAATATACAAAATATTATTCGGCTATTTTTTGTCTTTTGGAAGCTGCATTCAAAATCCACTTGGCTCAAAAATCTGAGGGGGCACGTGCCCCCTCACTTTGAATGGGCATGACGCCTCTGATAGTCATAATTGTAAGAAACAAAGTAACGTATGAAATATAACATTGCAATTGAGAAACAAAGTTAAAATTGTGAGAAAAATTTGCAATTGTTAGAAAAAAAACAGTTGTGAGAATGTTGCAGTTGATAAACAAAGTCACAATTGTGACATGCATTTTGGGAAACAGAATTGTGAGATATAAAGTCGCAATTATGAGAAACAAAGCTGAAATTGTGAGAAATAGTCGCAACTGTGAAAAAAATAATGACGACTGTCATTGCAGTCATTGCAGTTTTGAGAAACAAAGTCCAAACTGAGTTATAAAGTAGCAATTATGAGAAACAAAGTCACAATTATGAGATATAGTCACAATTATGTGCAACAAAGTGACAACTGTGAGCTATAAAGTTGCAATTATGTGAAACAAATTTGTAATTGTGAGCAATAGAATAAAAAGTACAAGAAGTCGCAATTACAAGAAAATAGATGCACTTGACTTTTTCTGTATTCTGAAGCAGACACAGGCTTCTATATACACGAATACTGTAGCTAATGTGTTAGTGATTGTATGTATTTGTCAAAATGAACATGTAGATGATTTAACAAGCAAAAAATATTTGTTTCTTGTTGCTGTGACCGTGTGTGGACCTCAGAGAGGCCAGATCTCCTGTCATAGCTTCTGTAAAGTGAATCATTTGCATCACAAAGAGCATTATGGGATTTTGATGAAGGCAGAAGATCTGTGTCAATAGCACAGGGACATCCTAGAGCAAATATATATGTGCATGAGGTTCAGCACTGAATACTAAGTGTGCATTGAGGATGCTCATTTTTTCATTATTCATCCTCCATGTTAAAACAAACATGTTCCAGCATGGATTTTCATATTTTGGTTATGGTTCATTTGGGTGATTTGGATAACGTTTTCTGCTAATATGTTTGTTAATATGAAAAGGTGACTGTGTGTGTGTGTGTGTGTGTGTGTGTGTGTGTGTGTGTGTGTGTCTGCACACACAGGTATGCTGCAGCAGTTCAAGACGGCTCACAGTACTTTGTGCTTCTCATCATCACAGACGGTGTGATATCAGATATGGCTCAGACTAAAGAAGCCATCGTCAATGTGAGTTATCCTTGACCTCTCTCTCTAGCCTACTGTCCTCAAAAACAGTTTGTCTCATCATACTCTGGTGTAACATTGCATCAAAAGTGCCCCAGGCAAAGTCTACGAAGATTTAAGGTGCTTTTTGGGTCTTCCTGAGGTCCTCTCTGCATCTAATGGGATTCATCTGTCACCGTTGCTATGGTTACCCAGCAGACTGGATTTAAAGGGAATTTGCGACTGTTTAGTCACATTATTAAAACAGCCACACCTTCCTTTTAAGATCTTGCCTGCTGCTCTGTCTCTTCTTCACCCTCTACCCATGATGCTTTGGATCTTGGTCTTTGGTTACACGGTAAACATTTCTGCACTGACTGATATGGGTTCATGCACTTTGAATGACTGAACACTTCATGTGCGTTATTAATATCTATTCCCTGAGTGATTTTTATTGAAGTCCGATATGGAAATTCCACTCATGTGCTCTTTTCTGTTGGTCTTTTTAAAATGATTAGATAAAAATGAGCACTTTGAAGTGTTTCTCATATGCACTCTCTCACTCTGACTGCTGATTCGCTCCACTCACAGTGATTTGACCTCTTATATATATACTAGCTGAAGCTGAAGCGAAATATAGGTTAATTCCATGGACTGAATTGTCACTGGTTTTTGTCATCACTAATTTTGACCATTGGTGTTCTTCGAACAAGAGTAATTACTCTGTAATAACCATTTCCAGTCATTACTTTTGTCTTGTTTCCTAATAAAAAATATCTAAACATCTTCAAATAAATAAACTTGAGAAGCAAAGGTAAATTTTTCTCACCCCCAATAACTTTTTTAAGTCCCCTATATCTATATTCTTAGAGCAACTGAAGTTAAATGTTTTTCTAAACTTTATTTGGAGGACTACTTGTGCACAATGCACATTTCTTAATATTAAGCCTAAAATGTGTTTCAATGTCACTATTGATGAGGATTGTATGATCTTTGAATAATATCGGTCTTTAAATGCAAGATATTTAAAGTGTATACTTGAAATAGTTCCACTGTAGCACAATCAAATATACTTATGTATATCTTTAGTTGGACTTCAGCACTACTTCCGCACAATTAAAATGCATTAAGTACTAAATTAATTTTGGTAACACTTTATTTTAAGGTGTCCTTATTACACATGTTACATGGACTTACTATTATAATAACAATTAATTATGCATAATTACATGTAAGTAACCCTAAACCAAACCCAAATCCTAACCCTAACCATATAGTAAGTACATGTAGTTAATTAATCTTAATTTAGTACTTAAATGTATAATTACACTGTAACAAGAGCACCTTAAAATAAAGTGTAACCTTAACTTTAAGTATACCAGTTTATCATACCAAAAGTACAATTGCAGGGTATTTTATTAAGCACACAAATAACTCAATGCATTTTTAGTGTACTTAGCATGAAATAAATGTAATTCAAATACATTTTAGTACATTTATTTTTCACCAGGGCTGCCATTTCTTTGTAATTGATTGTAAAAATGTACCATCAATTTCTGAGTGAAAATTGTTCCTACTATTTTTTCAGTGTATATTTAAACATCCTTAAAATAAAAAAAAATATATAAATGAATAATTTACTTGAAGAATGATTGCATAAGAAATTAAGACTTATTTTCAGATATTATGTTTATTTTTCTCACCCCTATTGGCATAGTTTTTTAAAAAAGTCGAACTTCATAAAACTTAGTTAGATTTCTGCTTAAAATAAGAAAACAGCATTTGTCAATTGAAATAAAGAACAAAATAATTAATTAAATAAACGTATTTAAAGATATGTGATATGAAAAGTCTTAATATCTTATTCAGTTTTGCTTCTCAAGTCAATGTATCTAAGGATATTTCAGTATTTACGGAAAATCATGACAAATAGTGATTAAAGGAATGATGTTTCCAGTGTGTGTGTGTAAAAATTATGTATTTAATATTTATTAAATCTATTAAATGACTCCAAAGAAGTTTTATCCTCACTGATACCAGCAGATGTGCATGCTCAAGCAGTCACTGAGAATCTAAGAATACACTGAAGCCAAGCAAGTGGGTATGTGGCTCAGCGGACAAGAGAACACTGTAATTCACAGAGTTTATTATAGGCTAGCTGCAAATGTGTCACATCACATAATTCACAGTAATCTGCACTTACTTCATGGCTGAGAGAGGTATTTGTTAAAAAAAAAAAGTCAGGAAAACAGGGAGAAACAAGAGGGAGAGGGAAAGTAAACAAACAAGTGAGCAAGAGAGTTTGCGAGAGAAGCACTTGAAGGAAAGACCTACAGGAAATAGAGCAGTGAATACATGAAGTGTGTGTGAAATGTGTTTGTTTAGACTCATCTTCCCAGCTCTATTTCTTTCAACACATGACTGCCTCTGTCCCCCGTGCGCATTTCCGGGAATGCTGACCTACTTCCAACCCCATAAATATGTTTTTATAATCCTTGCCCATTGGCACCAAGCACTCAATGTCCTGTCTGCACAAGGCATACAGACGGGTGGACTGGTAGACAAAATCAGCCTGGATCCAATACCATCCCCATCACAACACAAGTGGATAGAATAAGTATTGCCTATTTATTTATGTATTAGGGGTATAAAGATACACATATTCATAACAAAAATTTATAAAAGATATAGGACAATACAGTTTATATTGATATACCTTGATGATATATTAAGAATTTCAAACTAACTCAGCATACAGTTTAGAGCGGCTTTCCCTCCTGTAAGTTGGCTGTGCTGCTTAATGCATTTGAGACATGTTTTCCAGAGCTCATAACTTTTATCTTGAGATTCTATCCTTATCTGTAAATGTTAGAAAGTCATGCAAGTATTTCCATTTTGCAGAAAGGCTTGTCTTGACAGCAAGTGAGTATCTGTTAGACTTCACAGCCTTCACTTAAGGAGCACGGCGCGTGCACACATACACACATACACACACATATATATACAAATTAATATTTTATTAATTGAAAAAAAAAATAGAGCTAGTAAATCAGAGTCAGCTGACTGTGTTTTTCAGAAATAAGAAAACACAGTGAAAACCAATATAAATATGTCATTTATTCATATTGATTTCCAGTATATTTATGTCTGAAATTCTGAAAGAAGCAGTCAGCTGATTCTGCTTTAGTATTGTTGACAATTTATGGAGTCCATCTTTTGGTATTATTGAAGGAGTATTATTGAAGGAATCGATCTCTGAATTAATGATATAATTCACTCATTTGGTTTGATTAGCTCTCCAGGCCCCACAGTTTAGGGTTTGTTTGTGCTCTGTGTGAGTGTGTGAGTGGCTCTTTTTCATCTTGTGTGATGTGTTTTTGTGTGGCCCCTGGTGAAATTCCAATTCTAACTCCATTACAGCCCACAAACTTATCAGTGTGACTGAGGCTGTGTGTCCAGCCAGCTTTATTTGTCAAATTATTCATTCCTCTCAACAGGCTTTCACGGGCCCTCTGGGGGAGTACTTTCAAAATTCAAACCCTCAGGAGCCTTTAAAGGGGTGGTTCACTGGGTTTTTTCTAGGCTTGATTGTGTTTATGGGGTGCAAGTAACTCGTTGTAGTCCCTACCAGACGTTTCTGTAGGCATTAAACTGCCAGAATTTTAAAAGACGATATCTCCGTTTGCATTGAACTTTCAGCTTTGTAACTTTGCAGATATTGTTTATGCTCAAACAACAACATTAGACACTAACGTTAAAAAAGTGAAATCGGAATGAACCACCCCTTTAATATTTCTATCATTATATATTTGATATATTAAAGGTATATTTCATTATAAGCTCTTCAGATAACATTTCATAGAAATCATGTTTTCCCCTTGTATGTATTTCTTGTATTTTAGTCTTTCTGCTGTGATCATGTGTGATGCATTATATGCAATTACTTTTCATTTCGAATCACTGGGAATTCGCTTTGGGGAGAAAGTGAGTTTTGTTTCTCTGAATATCCTGTGGTTTTCTGGTTATCCGTTGTCACTGGTAAGCAGCCTCTGAGCTGGCTCAGTACAGACTCACTCTTTACTTCTCTGATAAAGGGGATTTGACCTGTCAGTCAGGCATCTTATCAGGAACAGGGACAGTTAGCACAGGAGAGAGAATGTTGATCCAGGAGGGTCTGAATAATGCATAGCTTTCACCTCACTGTATGTGAAAAAATCACGCTGTCAAAATATTCTTTTCAAACCATCACAGTCAAAGTCCTAGCGTTCTTTCAAACACGACTGGCTTAATATGTTCCAAAATAACCCATTTTCTTTGGTTACTGATATCAAAAGCTGTGTATTACATGTATAAAATGTTTCAACTTTATTGTCATTAAGTTAAAACTTGCTATCTGGTAAAAAACCTGTAAGGGTGAACCGTAAAAAGTATATTTATTTATGTGTTTGTTTTGTGGTTCACATTAGATTCTTATGACTGTAAAACAACAAAATGATACAGTAAAATTGCTGTAATACAATGATACCAAGCCAATGTAAATTAAAGATATAATTTTCTTCAGATTATTATTATTTTTTGGATTGTACTGTCCGATGTGTTTCTTTGACTAATCAAATTAAGCATAATCTTAAACTTAAAACATACAGGTTAGTCCACCATTACAGTAAATTTGAATAATCTTATCAAACAGGAATTGTAGGATTATATCAGAGCATGTGAACTGTTTATCATGACATATAATTAGTCTTCTCTGTTTTCTCAGGCGGCAAAACTACCTATGTCTATCATTATTGTTGGAGTTGGCCAAGCTGAATTTGATGGTAAGACCTGAAACTAATCTTATTTAGTTTCATCTTTATATCTTCTTCTATATCCTCATTCTCTTTTCTGTTTAATTAGTCTTATTATATTTCATGTACTGCAATCATAAAAAGAAAATGTACTGCATAACCCTTTACTGCTTTTTTTGTATTGTACTCAGCATCTTCCTAACTGTTTCTTAAAGGGGTCATATGATGCGATTTCAATTTTTCCTTTCTCTTTGGAGTGTTACAAGCTTTTGGTGCATAAAGAAGATCTGTAAATATATTAATATGCACTCATCTCAGCAAAATATTTATGTAGCTTAAGGAATGTCAAAGTAATATAACTGGGGAAGTTTCTTAAGGAATAACTTTTGGTGACCTACATTTACAGGCATCTCAGATTTAGAGAACACTTGAGACATCACACTTGAAAAAATAACTCAAGCTAACAAACAACAACAAGGCTTGTGCAGCCTGTAAATAATGAAAGAATCCAGAGTATTTTTTGTGAAACAACCAGGTTACATTGTTTACATGGGTATTTCAGTTAACTACACTAAAAACAGGGAAATGATTCACAGAATAATTAAACACCTATAACTAACTACTTTCTAATCTGATCTGTGCCTGCAGTTCGTACCATTCAGAGACTACATGGACAGGACGGGAAACCATGTCCTGAGCATGGCACGGCTTGCCAAGGATGTCCTGGCCGAGATCCCGGATCAGTTAATCTTATATATGAAGTCAAGGGGCATCAAGCCCAACCAGACACCACCAGACTACAGCCCACCTGGGCTCAGCCCATCCCCCACCGTATGAGTTTATCCAGCCTGCTAAAAGAAAACAGGCGATGCTATGTCACCACCAATTTGGATCTCATTCAAAGCCAATACAACTGATTCAGTGTGAGGCATCTAGGAAAGCGGATGGTTTCAATTCCCAGTTTTTGGATCTAATACACTGGAGAAATTGAAAACTGTATGTGTGTTCTGGAGTTTGAACTGTAAAGGACGGTTCTTATTGGTTTGTGAGTTTGTTTCCCCCCTCATAATTTCTTTACAAATTAGCCAACACTATGAAAATTTATAGTTTGGATCAGTCTCATTCAGATTCATACGTCCAACTGTGCTGGATATATGGAGAGTATCTGCGCAAGCAATGCAATTTTCTGCTTATTTAACATCTCTAACATTTCAACATCTATAAAATGCTATAGCACATCAGCATGTGAGGACTGTGTGTTATATTAGGAAAATCTTCCTCGTATCCACCAGAGGAGGTAAACGAGCATTAGAAAATGTGATTTAAAAAAATAGTGAAATTGTAAGTGGTTGTTTGAAATATTATACCCTGAATGAGTAATTTGTTTAGTGAAATTGTTTGATTTGTTTCTAGAATTTGTAGATGGTTTGTGTTATGGTGGTTTTATTTTTCCACAGGGTTTTGAGCAAAGTCTTTTTAGTACAACGTAATATTTCCCATTGCGGTTTCCCATTCATAGCTTTTTAGAGCTATGATAAACAAGATTTTCTATTCTTGAGCATGAAATCCAGGTAAAACCAATTGTACATTGCATTAATACATTGTATTAAATGTATTTACATACTTCAGATGAAATCAGTTAAGAAAAATCCAGTGTAAAAGTGAAAAGCACAAATATTTTCTTAAAGCTGTAAAATTTGTAAATGTTAATCAGAGGTCACAAATTCAGATTCATTACACTGTAAACAGACTGAAATTTCAGGCACAATCAGCTCTCAAGAACACCAAATTTACTTTCCAGCATAGTTTAATTTGTTCCTCCAATTCCTTGCTCTGGAGCCGGTATGTCTTGATATTGTACAGCAACTCCTCAGACACATGTGAGCTATCAGGGGAAACACGAGAGATTCCTCGCCACTCGCTGCTAAAGATGATTGGGGATGAGGCAGCGTCTGCGGTTTTTCTTATAGCACTGTCTGACTCACCTGCAGCTGCCCGTGTCCAGCCTGAACCTTTGCCCTTTCATTCCCTGGATTCACCCTGGAGTTTAAAACACTTTTCTATTCTTCACCATGGCAGGAATTATTTTACTGGTTTCAAAAGATGAAAGACACATTGCATGCAGCTGAAATTGCATTACCCGCAGCACAAACATAATGCCACTTTGTTTAAATGTTCTAGCTTTGAATCATTTATAGCATTGGCATACTGACAGGATAAGCATTAAACACAATTTAATAAACTTACATACAGTAAGTTTACATTAAAGGTTGATAGCAAGCATAAATTAGAAACAGTATTTTATATGCAGTATTATTACTAAGGAAGCGCGTATTGATTTCCTTTCTAATTTTACAAACTTTTTAAGACGTTCAGTTAAATCTCAAAACATTTACTCGTTTAGCATACACAGCCTTGTATACAGCCTCTTTTGTCTGAGGTTCATTTTGAAAATTAATAATAATCACTATTCTCAGACAAATCGGTATGTATCGGTAAATACTGACTGTCTTGCTTTTTTTTCTTGGACAGAAGGGCCGTTTATACTTGTTCTTACTCAGTTTTGATACATTTTGACATCTCTGCTTGTTTGTCCCAAGTTGTACCAGTGTTTTGGTTTTACAACATCTATCTGTTAATATAATGTAGATTATGAACTGTGAAGATTAACTGCAGTTTTATTTTTAAATCTCCACTGGTCCTCAAACTACTAATTTGTAAGTGAGCACAGATGTTTACAAGATGTGATTGCCTCCTATTTAACCCACTTTTACAACATGAATGAGAATGTTCTTTCACAAAGATTGTTAAATTTAGAAAATCTACTCCCGGATTACAATGTGTTTAAATACACCTTTCTTTTACCCTGTGTTATTAGCACACCTGGAGTTACTGAGAATGAAGTGATCCATCAATCAATTAGGAGGTGACGATTAAGCCTGGAAAGGAAGCATTGGGTGAAAGGGTCTGTTTGAGAGAGTTAACAGGTGTATTGATTTTAAAGGCTTGTTTACTCTTCACTGGATATTGTTAATGGCTAGTTAATAACTAGTAGATAATAGTCCTTTTATTGTTGAGAAGAGAGTTTTTTTGTTTTTAAAGTGTTTTTTTTTTCAAGGGGGTTTTTATTGCATTCTGTTTTTCAAATGTAAACCTGGAAATTCTACTTGCATAAACATAACCTTTTTTAATCCAATTTAATATTTATGATTATTGCTGCTAGGTCACTTGTAAATCCAAGAACAAATTACAAGCATCCTGAAACACATGTAAATCACGCTCCAGAGAATGTTAATGGGTTAATTTTATGACTTGGTGTAAATTTATCAAATACTGTTTTTCCCCCACTATAATAAAGGCAGTAAGTCATATAGTAGTGCACAAAAACATTGCAAAGAGGTAATAGTAGAAAAGGTGTAAATTATGTGTTAAAGATATGGCCCTTGTCCAGTGCCAGCGTTCCCTCTGTGAGATATGCATGATTGTGCCAAAATGGCAGACGGGTTCAGTGACAAACTGGCCTATTGCTCTGTGTTTAGCCTCTGCTGCTCGCCTCAAAACTGACATACAGAGCATGACGCATCCCATCCTTGCTGGATTCCTTTTCCTTCTCTCTTTTTCTCTTCTTTACCTCTTTTTATCTCAGTCGATATGCATGGTGAGCTATTTCCAAACCGAACATAGAACATTGCTGTTGTCATTCCCGTGGTCTGTGAAATTTGTAATGATTGCCTTAAAAATTACAATGAATAAAACAATGATAACGTTTTTCGAGAAGATCAGACAGAGATTTTTTTGTATGCATGAGTTTCTTTGTGAATACCCCATCAGTTACAAACTGTAGCAGTCTATTACAAACCGAAGCAGCCTTTAATGGGAGAGCAGAGATTTTCTCATTAATTCATGTTCGATGCCACGGCTGGGCCCTCCAGAGACAGGTGTGCATTTACATAAGTCCATTCGCTTTAGTTCCTTTGTTTGTCACATTCATTCTGAGTGATTAGTCACTATTCTCTCTGGTCACGGTGTTTAGATGATGTACATGGGTGAGTTTCCTCTCATCAAAGGATAAAAATACCATTAAATGTCAGTCGATAGTTTTTTGGGCTGACACTGCAAAAGTTCCAATCTATGCTCTGTTCATTATGTATACTTGCTAGTTGCTGAATGCTAAACAATTGCAATTAGTGTGGTCGATTTTGTTTAGGCTAAAATAGACTGACTACAAAGGGCCATCTTGATGCAAATAGAAAAGTAAACTCTAAGTTGAGAGAATTTTAACTAAGTGACAAGTATTGTTTAGACTTGTCCTTTAATCAAAGTTTTTTTTTTTCCTGTCATTGCCGAAGAGGAGCAATGAAGAGAACTCGCCGTCCAATCAGTTGGCTTCCTGGGGCGGGTTGGTGTGTTTCCTTCCTCAAAGAGCACCTGCAGAATTTAATAAGATTCACTTCTGATACATCAGCTGCATCGCCTGAATTGAAGGAAGGAAGGATGGGGGTGGGGGAGATATATTGCTGATACCAAGTTTATTTGTTTTCTCTCTCTCTAACAAAAATGCATTTGCTAAATTGCCGTCCTGCTTCAAGTTACCAGGGGGGATGGAGACTCACAATTATGACAGACTGATTGATGGTCCCTTCAAAGACCACCATATCGGTTTTGAGTGCTAATGCCAAATTAATTCCACAAATTGCTGTGAAGAACCTGCAAAATCAATGGCTTTCTTTGGCAACTGCTTCCCAAAAGAGAAGAAGAAAAACATCTGAAAAAACAGATCCAAAGCATATCCCGAACAATCTGGGAGAAACATCCTACACCAAAACAAAACAGTGACAGAACAACAGAACAGAGATGGATGCATAAATACATACATACTTTCATGGGGTTTTGCCATATAGGACCCACCCAAGTAAAATCACTCTTAGCTAATTTTTTTTATTTGTTTTAATTATTAATTTTTCTAATCCCTAATATTATTACAGTGAGTGTTCCTCAGTTTCATTCCCTGTAGACTAAAGACACAGTGACCGAAGTTGAGCAGCTTTGAGCAAAGATTCACTGACAAACAACTTGCAGTTCAGTAGGCTAATTGTTGATTCAGCGGCTCTGATAGATTAGGTGAGTTCATTCAATGAAGGATTCCTCAAAGTGATTCAAACCGGTAACTCCAGCTCGTGTGTTTTTTGAACGATTCATTTAAAGAACCACATCGTGAGAGTCATTTGTTCGTGAATCTATAATATAGCCTAATTACGTTTTAGCCTATGTTTAAAACGCGTGAGGAGCGCCGTCGCTTAAAAGCGGTGCTGGAGACACTGCCGTGGTCTACGAGAAATATGGAAATATGTAAGTAAAAGTTATGGTCACCAACAAACCTGTTCACTTAATTTGAGAACTTTGTGTTTTACGTCGGACACACCCGATTTGAAACCCGCCGCTACATCATTCATTTAACGTTAGTGGCGCGCGGGCAAAAAAGGAATTGATCTCCCGAATCGTGTGTCTTTTGTTTTGTTTTATTTAATTGACGCTAAATTAATACTATTAGTTGCTGGTAAAATTAAGCATTGGCCTTTAAAGGGCTTTGCAGAAACGAGTCATAGCTCCAATTATGTTAAAATACCAGTGGTAGCCTATTGCTAAAAGCGCTATTAGAAAGCATCTCTAGATTTGATTCTTAATGTGTCAGGCTTTTGTCTGTTGTCTGTCTCCGTATCAGTAGAGATGTCGGTCCCCTTATAAGACACACTGAAGGCAGACAGGTCTGAGGTCATAAACATGCTGGAAACACTAATGCTCTTTGTCAACATGCCGTAAGCAGCCTGGCTTTTAAAACAACACAAAAAGTCACTCCAATGAAAAGCATGAGCCCGAAATAAAGAAACCAGGGAACATTTTCACAAATGTCATCTGA